CGGGCAGCCAACCACACCCCCCCCCCCCCCCACACAGACACACTGTGGGGCTGCACAGCCCTGCCTGGGATTCACCAGGTGGTCCCTGTCCCCAGCACAGCCGGGCCCCCCTCTGTCCCCTCTACCCTGGGGATGAGACATTGCTTCCCGTCCCCCCCTCACTTATCTGCAGCCCTCAGACCGCAGCTGCACAGCCCATGCAAGCAGGAGCAGTGGCCCAAGGAGGGGGTCAGAAGCAGCCCTCCCTGCCCCCCAGAGAAGCAGGGCAGGCACAGGCTGCAGACAGACCTGTACATTTATTTACAAGAAGGCGAGAGCCAGGCAGGACTCCAGCATTGGGCAGGACCCTGTGAGCATTGTCCCTTGCCAGGTGGGGACGAACCCAAAGTCCCTTCACCCGCTGCAGCAGGGGCTGGGGGGGCTGGTGCCTCCCCCTGTCTCTCCCTGGTGTGTTTCCAGCAGGCACAGAGGGCACAGGCGGCCCCGCAGCAAACACACAGCCCTGGATTGGGGGTGCTCGGCCACGGCAAAAGGCAAAGCTGGAGGGCAGGGGGAGCCTGGGACGCCCTGCCAGCCCCCCCATCCCCTCCCACAGCAGGCAAGGCTGGAAGCTGCAAAGCCTGGGGTCTGCCCGTCCTCTGGCAGCAGCGGGGAGCCCCGAGGGGTGCTGGCAGAGGGGAAGAGGTATGGGGTGAAGCAGAGGAGCGGGGGCAGCACCCGCCTCCCCCGGCCTGGCCGGTCCCAGGGAGCCCCCGCACATGGTGGGGGGAGCTGGCGGCCGCAGCCGCCGACCGGCAGTTCCTGTGTGTTGGTGGTCGGGGCCGGAGTGATGCTCGTGGGAGCCGGGGAGCGCGGCCCAGCTGCTCTGCATTAGGCCGCCTCGCTCATCTTGATCTGGCGGGGACGGGTGAAGCAGAGGTTGTGTTTTTCCCCCGCTGGCAGAGCCGAAGGGCAGGGAGGGCAGGAGGAACACAAAGGCTCCTTCTTCCCTCGCTGGCTCCCAGCTGGGGATGCTGCTGGAAGTGTGCTCATCGCTTCCTCCCTTCCTGTGCGAGCAGCAGCTCGGGGCCAGCTCCGCTCCCGCACACCCGGCCGGCCAGGGAGGAGGCGCTTCGGCACCTCCGGTGCCATAAGCACCAGGGTGAGGGTCCACGCCTGCCTTCGGGCATCCCCATGCCAAGCCGTGGTGCTGGGAAGGGAGGCCGGGCAGCTCGGGGTCCGGTGAGGGCAGGGCAGGGCTGCAGCATTTACAGGCAGAGCGAGCGAGTCTTGGGTCCAAGGTAGCGGCAGGCACGCAGGGCAGCCCAGGCAGCGGGGCTCAGCCCGGGCCAGCCTTTCTCCTCTGAGGACATGGGAAGGAAGCAGGAGCAGAGCAGAGGTGCTGTGGGTCGGGCATTGTGCAGCCAGGCCAGGGATGAGATCAGAAACCACTGCTCAGGACCAGGCTCACAGTCCAAGGAAGTCCAGATGGAAGCATTAGCTGGATGGGAATGGGTAGGGCTGGAGCCCCGGAGGGTGATGCTGGTGTCCCCAGTAGTGGGTTCCCAGTGCAGCAATGCTGCCCAGGGTGGGCTGAGCTCGGCAGAGCAGCTCCACAGCAGTGGGTGCAGGTGAGGAACTTGGTGGGGTCCTGGTCCCCGAGCAGTCCCACAGCTGCTGGGTGCCAGGGCAGGGTGGCAGCCCCAGGAGCCATGGCAGAGCAGGACCCATGGTGGCGGTGACAGCATGGAGCAGGGTTGCAGCACACACTGCAAGGTCCAGAGCAGCCATCTGGCAGCAGCACAGGCAGGGAGGGGGCTGCATGGCTCCAGCCCATGGCCCCTGTGGTGGGAAGTGGGCAGGGGCCAACCCCAGCAAGGTCCTGTTTCTGTCCAGAAGCAAGACTGAGGAGGGACTTGGACATGGCCCCAGGAGGGGGCTCGGCAGCCCCTCTCAAGCGATTCCTCTCTGGCCTTGACTCACACATGGCTCAGGCTCCCCCGGGGGCCCCTGCTCAGACACCCAGTGCTGTCAGCGACCCCGAGCTGGTGATCTTCTTGAAGCGGTTGGCAGCACACACCCCGATGAAGTTTTTCTGTAAAAGGGGAAGAGGACAGATGCTCATCCTACCATGAGGGCTGCAGCTCTGGAAGCTGAGCCAGATCCCTCTCACGGGGCTGGTGAGGAGCCAGGCTGGGGAGTGGGCAACCACCCGGGCACCCATTCAGCTGGGCTGTGTGGGAGGGGAGCACAGAGCAGGGGGATGTGCAGGGCTGATGCTGGGCATCATCCACTATAGTCTGTCCCAACACCACTCCTGCCCCTAAAAGGTGCTTTTTAGATTGGCTCAGAGGAGACCAACACGAAGGCACCTATACTTGAGGGGTCCCACCATGGGAACGCCCACACAAGGACCTTGATGCTGGAGGAGCCTTTTCTCCAGGTTCAGGGGTCTCCGGCCCTTGTGCCCCGACAGTGAGACAGAGCCAGCCCAGATGCCATCCACCAGTATGGGCAGAGGCTGGCAGTCCCCCAACCAGCTCCCCCAGATATCACTGACTCCTGTCCCCATGCCAGCCCTGCACCCCACGCACCTTCCAGCGCCGTCGCATGACGTATTTCTTGAGCAGCACCTGGGACTTGAGCCGGCGGTTGCAGCGCTTGGCTTTTTCTGCCAGGTTGTTGAGCCAGGGATGCTGCAGGCACTGGCCAGCACTCATCCGGGCACTGGGGGCAAGAAGAGCCTGGGTCACCCCTGCTTGAGCCCCTCTCCCCCAACCACCCCCTTCTCCAGCCATCCAAGAGCCTCAAAACTCCAGAAAACTGCAGGAACCAGCTGGAGGGTTGTGCCCAGGGACTGGTGGGGCTGGGCAGGATCCCGAATGGTAGAACATGTCCTGCTTAGAGCAGGTGACCCTGGAGAGACATAGGGCTCTGCTGGGGACAGCCAGCAGCCAAGGCAGGGCCCCTCAAGGATCATTTGGCACAGGACATCAGTGGATGCTGTTGGTCCCAGGGTAGAGGACAGTATGTGGTACCCAAGGATGGGACACACAGCTCTGGAGATGCCCACCCCAGGACCCCTACAGCTGCTGCTGGCCTCGCACCTTTTCTCCTTGATGATGAGGTTTGAGACAAAGTCCTTGGCCTCGTCAGAGACGCTCTCGAAGGTCTCCTCATCGAAGTACCAGTTGGCAGCCAGGACATTGTTGAGCGTTTCCGTGTCGTTGTCACCCAAGAACGGGGAGAGGCCGCTGAGTCTGGGGGCACAGGGAGGGGAGGAGTTGGGTACCCTCAGGCTGTGGCATCTCCAACCCTCCTCCAGAACGGAGCAAACCTGGCTGGGGCTGCCCTGGGGAGCAAAACAGGGTGGTCCCAAGCAGGAAGGTGGTGTGAGGCTACTTGCACCATGCTGAGTGTGTGCATGAGCTGTTCCCTGCCTGCACACAGGGGCACAGACACTCCTTGGCCCCACTTGCTGCCCCCCAGCCCCACCTGGCCATCTCCTCATCCAGCACCCTCCAGCAGTCCACCAAGCAGTTGGGTGCCATGTATATGTATGGTTTGGGAATGGCTCCATGCCTGGGTGAGCTCTGGCCTGGCACCCTGGCACAGCACTGGGTTCCCCCCCCCAGCACAGCTCTGACGTACAGCATGTAGGTGATGACGCCCATGCTCCACATGTCCGTGGAGTAGGAGACCTGCTCGTAGTTGACCACCTCAGGAGAGAGGAATTCAGGGGTGCCAAAGTTCACCTTCAGCTTCTCCTGGGGGTTGTACCTGCAACCGGGGTGGGTCAATCAGCGGGGGGGGGACAGGCTTCTCCCCCAAACTGCTGCCCCCCTCCCAGCAGATGTTGCCCTCCCCAGCACTCCCATATCAGCCAGGAAGAGCTGGAGCTGGCAACCATGGCCAAAGTCACAGCCCAGAGCAGATCCCAGGGCTCCCAACACACCAAGGGCATGCAAGGCTGAAGGGTGGGAGAGGGACAGTGAGGAGGGACAGAGTCGAGAGGGGAAGATTGCACCTTCGAGCCAGCCCAAAGTCGATGATCTTCACCATGTGCCCGGTGGCAGCGACACAGAGGATGTTCTCAGGCTGTGGGGACAAAGAGACCATTGTCCCACCACCAAGAGGGGATGTCCCCAGTGCATCTGGGTCCTGTGGCTGACCTGTGCCAGACTGATACTGACTTGCAGGTGTCCCTGCCACAGCTGGCCAGTGCTGGGGACATGCTGCTCTCACAGGCACGGCAGCTCTTGGGCCAGCACACAGCGCTCTTCACTGTCTGCAAACACCCACTGTCCTCCTGTGCCCTGGCTTCCCACATCCCCACAAGCAGCAGCCAGCCCCTGCTGTCACCCCCAGCCCCTGCTGACACCCTGGCCCAGCACCTTGAGGTCAAGATGGAGGACACGCATGTGGTGCATGAAGCGGATGCCCTCGCAGATCTGCCGGACGAACACCATGCAGTCCACCTCCGTCAGGTGGTAGTCATCATCGATGATCCTCTCGAAGAGCTCACCACCCTCCACGCTGCGCAAGGACAGACCGCAGGGTCACCTGGGGCTCCCTGTCCCATGCCACCTTCCTGCAGAGCCCCCTGCCCACCCCAGGGCCCTCCAGGCCAGCCCCACCATGGAGGTGCTGGTGTAGAGGCTGAGCACAGCCACGATGGGATGCATGTGTGCTGGGATTAGACAAACCCCCCGCCAAGGCAGGCACAGGGGCATGTTATCCAGGACATCCCAACTTCACCGGGGTTTGTAGAGCAGATGAGCCCCAGCACAGCCCCAGCCTCCCTGGAGCAAGTGGGCAGGGGGAAAAGGAGCTGTGTGGGAAGAACATGGGTCATCTCTACCCTCAACACAGCCGTGCTGTCCCAGCCAGGCAGAGCCCAGGGCTGCCTCTGAGCTCACTGTGAGACGATGAGGTGCCCAAGAGGGAATGGGTGAGGTGAGGGACGTTCCCTGGGGCCAACACCTTCTGCTTGGTCAGGGACCGGCCCATCTGCCCCATCCCTGGAGCACCCACTGCAATGGTGCTCCTCACCTGGCATCAGCCCCCACACAATGCGACCCTGGCACTCACAACTCCATGAAGAGAATGATCTCCCGGGGCGTCTCGATGGCATCGTAGAGCTGGATGAGGTTGCGGTGGTTCAGCTGGTTCATCACATCAATCTCCAGCAGCACCATCTCCTGCACAATGAGCCCCATGGTGGTGAGGGGTGTCAGCCCTGGCCAAGCCACCAGCACTGGGACAGGCTGTGCCACAGCACCGGGCACAACAATGCCACCCACCATCTTGGCCATGCCACTTGCTAGTGGCACCATGGCCAGGAGAAGCCCCCCACCCTGACGTTGGTCAGACCTTGTCCTTGGCACCCTGCTTCCGGATCACTTTGGCCGCCAGCTTGAGCCCCGTCTGCTTCTCTGTGCATGTGTGAACTTCCCCAAACTTGCCCCTGGGGAGGGACAGAGGGAGAGATGCCCTATGCCATGAGCTGCCCAGGCTTCTGGGGACCCCCACACTCCCCTCTCCATCCATCCTGCCTGAGGCAGCAACCCATCACGGCCAGAGAAGTCCCGTTGACCCAAAACCATTTCCCAAGGCTGGATGACCACCCGGGACAGTGCCAGGGGAAAACGGGGCATCCCACATCCTCCCCAAACCCCTCCTTACCCTCCCAGGATCTCCTTGGAGCTGAGGTTGTACTGGGAGCTGACGCTGGCAGATCGCAGGGTGACGATGCGGTGTGAGAAGGGCGCAGGCGGTGGAGGGACATCATCTGCCCAGAGAAAAGGGTCTGGAGTGAGAAGAGGAGGTGCCCAGCCGGGAGACCCCACTGCTGGGCACCCTGGGGTGCCCCAGGATGGGAGTACACCCCGGTGCAGGGTGAATGCACCCAGTGGCACAGCCCAGCCAAGACTGTGGGTCCAGGATGTGGCCAGGTACCCCGTGCCCGGCTGAAAATCAGGGTCTCCCGGCTGTTGAAGCACGGGGGGAGGCAGCATCCCCTGACGGGTCCCTCGCCACTGCTGCATGGCACCCCACCGCATGGCACCCCTCCTCCCCACCGCATGACACCCCACCGCACGCTCCCCACCATCCCGCGTGTCACGCTCGCCCTCTCCAGGCCACGCTGCTGTGTGTCACCCTCTCTGGGCCACCACCCCTCCAGGCCACCATGTCCTTCTCACCCTCCCAGGATGGACCCCACACCCGGGGCACCCCAGGCACCCCATCCTGGGCCACCCTTCCTGGAGCCGGCCTCACAGGGAGTCCCACCAGCACCCGCTGCTCCCCCCCACCCCAATCCCTGCAAGGACAGTGGTGCAGGACACGGGGACACTCTGTCCCTTGCCACCAGCCAGGCGGTGGCTGTCACTCCCCGGGCTCCTCTTCCTCCCGGGCAGCCCCAGGCCTGGAGCAGCCCGGGGAGGGGATGCGACGCATTTAGCCCTGTTTACAGTGAAACAGGAGCTCGAAGGCCACCCAGCAGGCGACCAGCCAAGAGCATGAGCCAGCAGCATGGGAGGGCAGCGCAGGCAGGGCCATGGGGGACCCCAGGCTGCTGCCCCACAGAGGGTCCCGGGGTGCAAGGACAAGGCAGGCACCTCCCGGCCTTACCCAATATCTCAAAAGGGTCTTCCTTCCCAAAATCGGGGGTGAGGTAGGGGCTGGGGGGTGGCTCTGCCTGTATCGAAGACGGTTGCCACCCAGTACCAGGCTGCTCCGCAGCCCCGACGGGATCAGGGGGCTGCCCCACAACGCTGGGCAATGTCCTCTCCTGTGGGGTGCCAGGGCTCCCCACAGGGATGGGGGGCTCCGGGGGCTGCAGGTCCCCTGGGGCTGGTGGGGCAGGGCCAGGCTCTGTTGGACCCTCTCTCTGCTCCACCGCTGTGGTCTCTTCTGGTATCATCTCCATCGCTGCCGCCTCCACCCCGGGCTGCTCCTCCCTGGAAGCAGGAGCAGGAGGTGAGCAGAGCCCAGCAGCCCCCCAAGCCCAGCACCCACCCAGAGGGACCCGGGGCTCCTCTGGGGAACAGCGAGGAGAAGGGGACCCCATCCCAGGAGGGTGTGGGGGTACCTTTGGCAGGTGGCTGGGCAGCTCAGGCTCTGCAGCAGAACCGGGCGCAGGGTCTCAGAGCCCCTCCGATGCTGCTGCTCGTCCGTCTCCTCCACCTTTGCTGCTTTCTTCCCTTCACCCTGAGCCTTCACAACAGCCATGGCTGCTGTCTCTGTGGGTTCCTCCCCTCCATTCCCAGCCTCTGCAGCAGTTGGGGGGGCTTCCACCTTTGCAGCTTTCTTCCCTCCCTCCTGAGCCTTTACAGCAGCCGTGGCGTTCTCCTTTGCAGCCGCTGGGACTTTCTCCTGTGCAGGTTCTTCTTTGCCTCCATTCTTAGCCTTTGAAGCAGCTGTGTTTTTTTCCACCTTTGCAGTCTTCTTTTCTCCATCCTGCACCTTCGCAGCAGCCACAGCTTTCTCTTTTGCAGGCTCTTCTTTGCTTCTATCTTGACCTTTCTTTGCAGCTTGAGTTTTCTTTGCTGCTGCCTTCTCTCCATCTTGAACCTTGGCAGCATCTGGAGTCTTCTCTTTTGCAGGAGCTGTGGTTTTCTCCTTTGCAGGGTCTTCTTTGCCTCCATCTTGAGGCTTTTTTGAAGCTGGAGTTTCCTCTGCCTTTGCTGCTGTCTTCTCTCCATCTTGAGACTTGGCAGCATCTGGGGCCTTCTCCTTTGCAGGAGCTGTAGCTTTCTCCTCTGCAGGCTCTTCTTTGCCTCCATCTTGAGCCTTTTTTGCAGCTGGGTCTTTTTCTGCCTTTGCTGCTTTATCCTCTCCATTCTTAGCCTTTACAGTAGCTGGAGCCTTCTCCTTTACAGGCTTTTTATCAGCTGGGGGTTTCTCTGCCTTTGCAGCTTTCTTCCCTCCATCCTGAGCTTTTGCAGCAGCTGGAACCTTCTCCTTTGCAGCGGCCGTGTTTTTTTCCTTTGGAGGCTCTTCTTTGCCTCCATCCTGAGCCTGTACTGTAGCCAAGGCTGTCTCCTCCTTGGGCTTTGCCTTGCCTCCTTCAGCCTCCGCTGCAGCCGGAGCCTTCTCCTCCGTGGGCTCTGCTTTTCCACCACCCTCAGCCTCTAACCCACCGGGGGCTTGGTCCTTCCTGGGCTCATCCTTCCCTCCACCCTGAGCCTCTGCTGCTGCTGGAGCCTTCCCCTCCACAGGCACTGCCTGCCCTCCTTCAGGCTCTTTCCCAGCTAGAACCTTCTCCTCCCTGGGCTCATTCTTCCCTCCATCCTGAGCCTCTGCTGCAGCTGGAACCTTCCCCTCCATGGGTGCTGCCTTCCCTCCTTCAGGCTGTGCTGCAGTTGGAGCCTTTTCCTTCCCAGACTCATTCTTCTCACCCTTCCCTCCATCCTGGGCCTTGGCAGCAGCTGGTACCTTCTCCTCCGTGTGTGCTGCCTGTCCTCCATCATGTTGAGCAGCTGAAGCCGCCGCCTCTGATGGCGCTGCCTTCCCTCCATCCTGAGGCTCTGGAGCAATCAGGGCTGTCTCCCCCACAGGCTCAGCTTTCCCTCCTCCAGCTTCTCCTGCAGCCTTCTCCTTTCCAGGCTCTGCCTGTGCCCCATCCTGCCCCACAGCAGCAGCCGGAGCCTTCTCCTGCCTGGGCTCGTCCTTCCCTCCGTCCTGCACCTTGGTGGCAGCCGGCACTGTCCCCCCTTGGGGCTGGGCAGCCTGGGCAGCCGCTGGGACTGGCTCGGTTGTGCTGCCGCCTGCTTCAGGGGGGGCCATGCCACCAGCCCCCCCAGTGCCGGGCACGCTGCCCGCCCCGCCACCCGGCTCCATCGGGACTCTCCAGGCAGGAGGCAGCTTCCCTGGGGTGCTCCTGGTTCAGCAAGTCTCCTGTGGGAGAGAAGACAGAAGCTGAGGGCTCCCCAAACCCAACGCCCTGCCGAGGAGCACAGGGAGATGTGGGGCAGTGGCTCTGCTCCTGCAGAAAAGGGACGAGCTGCTGCCACCCAGCCGGGCGCTGTGCCCCCGCCGCTCAGTGTGTGGCACTGAGCCGGGGGCCCCACGTGGCTGGAGGTCCCTTGCACCATCCCATTGTGCCCCGGTGTCTGCTCGGCGGTGACTGATCGATGGCCTGACGCCGGCACCTGTCGCTGCCACGGGGTCTCCGGCGTGTGAACAGCCAGCGCGGTGCGGCCAGGCTGCCAAGTCAGGGCCACGTCCCCCCATGGCGGGGCAGGAGATGGCATCTCTGCCCCCAGCCCGGTGGGGTGGGGGGATCAGGCGAGGTGATGCTCCCTGGCATGGCCCCACCACTGCCCACCCCGAACCACACGGGCAGGTCCAGCTGCACAGGCAGAGCCCCGTCTGCTCAGGGGTCACACAAACCCACAGCCCCAAAGGCCACCAATGCTGCCCGTTGGGCACCTCAGCTCCTGCCCTAGTGGTGCCCACCAAGGGGACCTGTTGGTGCTGCCCGTGAACCTGCACGAGCTGCCACCCCGTTCCCTCCAGCCCAGCATCCGATCCCCAAATCCCCACTCTGATCCAGTCTCCGCTGCCCGTCCCTGCCTCCTCCCCTCACTCTGTCCCAAAACACCCCCCCTGCGCAGCCTGTGCAGCCATCCAGAGGTTGGGATAGCCCAGGCCTGGAATAAACCCACCAGCGACCATCCCAGCAACAGGGGAGTCACTTGCTGGTCTTACTGGGAAAGGAACTATAAGCAGTTGGCTCCCAGTTGAGCACTCCCAGGTCCTGCAGCTCACCATGGGGAGACTGTGGGAGCTGAGGTGTTCCTCCTGGGACTGGGGGCTCTGCTCTCCCCAGTATCCCCCACCGCCATGCCCCGAGCGGGTGGCCGTGGGGGACCCCCCTGTCCCCTTTACCTGGGTCCCGGTGCGGAGGGCGGTCAGGAGGGCAGCATCCGCAGTGTGGCAGCGCCCGGAGGGAGCAGCCTCTTCTATCTGGGGTGTAACGGAGCCGGATTAGTGCGGGCAGAGGAGGATCCTTTACAGCAGCGGGAGCCATCCCGCTTCGCCTTTCCCAGCACCTGTCACTGCTGGAGCCCGTTCAAAGGACACGCCACTCTTCCCTGTCCCCCCGCGGGCCAGGGAGGCGCAGACACAGCACAGGGGATGGAGCCACAGGGAGGGCTGGCACCGGGCACCGCAGCACCCCAGAAACATCCCAGGGAGGGGTGGGGGGAGGCAGTTTGGCTGAGCTGGACATGGTCCAAGGGGGCCAAGCGCTTCCAAGGTGCCCACAGGTGACATAAGGCAGCCACTGGCCACCCCACGGGGATGGTGGCGAGGAGCAGCTCAGTGATGGTGCTGGCTCCCCCATGCCACTGAGCTGTGGCTCTGCCCATCGTCACCAGCCCTTGGGGAGAGCATCCCCAAAGGACCCCGCACTCCACGATGTGGCACCTGCTGGTCCCCGAAGGAAAAAGTGACACCAGCTGTGAACCCAGTCAGAGGCTGCAGCCCCCTCCAGGAACCAGTTAAAAGACTCCAATTTCCTGGAAAATGAAGGGTTTGGGGCATCAGGGAGAGAATCAAAGGAACTGGGAGTCTCTGCTGGAGGGGTCAGACTATGGTTCGGTGCTGCAGGGGCATCACCAGCCCCTGCTGAAGGTGCAATGTGTGCTGCCAGGGTGCTGCACCCCAGAGCATGGCATCAGGGACTGTGCAGGGCTGAACCTGGGCATAGAAAACCCCTGGGGAAGGGGGTACCGGGGGCTGCGCTGTGCCAGGGGATGCAGAGACCATGGGCAGAGCTGGGCAAGGGCACAGCCACACAGGGTCCCAAAGCTGATGGATTCCCAAGGGCTATGCCAGGTTTCCACCTGGTTCCCCTGCCCAGCAGAGCCCTGTTTACTTTAAATCTTTGAACTTTAAGATGAGGAAAGCCTTGCTCACCAAGGGCACGCTGCTCGGGTTGCTGCTGGGGGCGGAGGTGGGCAGGAGGGGGGAGAATTTGCAGGAGGAACCCCCGGTAATTGGACCCAGCCCTCCCCGGCCAGCTCTGCCAGGCGAAAGCACTCCAATAATACCAACTATTAAAAACCCAGAACACCCATTTATCATGTCAAGGCAGCAGGAATGCCAGTGCAGAGGAGGAAGGGCTTGGTTCCTCGCCCGCAGCTGGTGCTGCTTTGGAGGGGACAGGGGAGGCTGCAGCTCGGTGACAGGAGATAAAGCAGTGAGAGCAGCTCACAGCAAAAGAAGAAGAGAAGGCAGAGGCTGCTGGGGGACAGGCAGGTGCCTGCACTGGGCACCCCCTCCCAATCACTCCATGTTACCCCCAGCTGGGTGCAGGCAGGGACACCCTGCTCCTCCACAGGGCTCCACCGGCAGTTGGGGCAGCGAAGGGCTGAGCGAGCACTGGCACTTGCTGGGAAGAGGGACTCTCCCTGGGGCTGAGCAGGGCTGGCTGGGTGCCCTCAGGGAGGCTGAGATTACTGCGGGCTCCCCCAGCCTCAGCCCCTGCCAGCTGACGGCCGGGTCTCTCCTCTTGAGCTCTCCAGCCCACGGCCACGTGGGGCTCGAGTCCTGCCAGACACCGAGCCTGGTTGCTCTCATATGGGACTCGCACACGGCCGAGCTAAGGCGACCAGCACGGATGGCAGCATCCCAGGAGCAGTGCTCACCTTGCCTGCAGCATCTTCCAGGAGGATGTAATGCTGGCCGGGCAGGGGAGGGGACTGGGCTGCTCCACGTTGCCAAATCTCAGCTCCCATCCAGGCACCAGCTTCTGCACACCCTGTGCTGGCTTTGCTGGAGGAGTTGTGGTTCACATACGGCATTGAGAGCAAGACAAGCCAGGATGGGGACATGCCATCCCCATGTCCTGGAGGTGCTGCTGTCCTGCCTGGCCCTGGGCAACTCCCAGGGGGAGCACAAAGGCCCAGGACATCACGTATATGTGAGTGACCAGCAGGGCAAGACTACAGCCCTCCTTCCTGCTGCAGAGGAGACCACCAGTGAGCAGCGCAAGAGGAGAAACAAAAGGTCTCCCCAAGCCCTTTCCCTGTCAGGGGCAGCAGCCTAAGGCCAGTACATGTCTCACCCATGGGAGAGATGCTGCTCCAACCTCGGGGGGCAGCTGGAGAGCAGGGGAGTGAGCCAGGGCTTTTATGGCTCACCCTGATCTGGCCAAGGGACCCTTCCCACCTCCCCTCCTGCTGCAGCCTCCAGCCCTGACTCGCAGCCCCACTGCACAGGCAACCCCCAGGTGCGGTTTAAGCTTTGGAGAAAGTGGAACTTGTGGCTGGAGCTGTCTCCTCTGGAGCCCAGCTGGTCCTAGACAGCAAAACTAGCAGCACAGGCATCCACCACCACCTCAATGCAAGAGCAATGCTTGCTCAGCTGGACGCAGCCAGGGCTTCTTGAGCTCTCCCATTCCAGCTTCAGCAAGCCCAGCTTCTTGCAGGACAACCTCCCTCTTCCCAAAATCAGGGGCAGGGCATGGAATGTGATGAGAACCAAGAGGGATCACGCAAGGGCAGGCACACAGCTCCTACCAGCAGTGCTGATGGTGTTGTGTATGTGTAGAGGTTGGAGAATCATCAGCACCCATGAAACCCGTTCCTGGCACAGCCGCTGCTCCCATGGCGAGTGGGAGTCCCCCCAGCTCAGCCTCTGCAGGACACACCAGCAGGAATAACTGGTGAGACGTCGTGCCTCAGGCAGCGGGGACTCTGCCCACCGACTGTCATCGCCAACGTACAGTTTGGAATTGTCTCTCCCCTCCTCTGGCCAAGGGCTGCCGGGCACCTGGAGGCCACCAATGCCACTCGAGGCACGCACTGCCACTTCTCCGCCAGCCTTCAGCTCTGCGCCCTCCCGGAAAGCCCCAGGTAGAAAGAGGACATCTACTCAGGGGAGCGGGAGCCCATGTGCCACAGCCGTGCCCCACAGAAGGTTTGGTGCAGTGGAATCTGGGATAAAATTCTCCAAGGAGGGCAGGAGCTCCTGTCTGGAAGGCAGCCAGCCTTCCCGGGGCACTCGCAATCTTTCACGCTCACCGAGAGTCAGGGTTGGTGTCCAGGGGTGAAGCCTTAGGACAAGGTGAGGAATCAAAGTGGAGAGTGGGCACCTGGGTGCTGGGGAGCCATGGAAATGGTTGTCCAAAGAAAGTGATGGATGTTGAGCCCTACAAGACAAAAATTCATCTGTAGGCAAAGAGAAATAAGCTGAAGACAGTCCCCTCATGAGAAAGATGTGTAGTTCTGCATGAAGGGCAGGATTTCAGATGCCTTGGTCCAAAACTCCATACCCCAATGTCCAGCACAGCCCTACAGATCTCTGCAGAGGTTCCTCAAGCTGAGGTGGTGGTGGTTGTTTTTTATTTTTTCTTCCTCCCCATTCAGGAACTTAAGCCAGAGTCTACGTTGGCTGCAGCTGGAAAACAGCCTGTCCTGGGCATATCTGGCAAAGCGTCAAGCACGCCAGTTCCCTAGCTACGCGGTTGTCACAACTTGGGCAGCACACTTTAACCTTTATGCTTTTCATGGGTAAAGGGAGGCTTCTCTGAGCAGCCAAGCCCTGCCTGTTCTCCAGGAAACCCTATACCCTGTCTAAATCGAGCAGCAGGGCAGGCGAGAACAACATCCCCACCTGAATCCCGGCCATACCCTGTAACACAAGCCAGCCAGCCTGCTTGTCCCAGTGGGGACTGACCTGGGCACACAGGCAGCAGCTTAACTGCTTCCATCAGCACCCAGGACTTCCCCCGATGAGCTCTGCTTGTGTCGTGACAGGTCCCATCAAAGTGAAGGGAAAAGACAGGGAAAAATCCCAACACCATCAGAAGAGCTTCCAGAGCCATGCAACACCTCAAGGACAGCGACGGGGCCAGCAGTGACACAAGGGAGCACTGAACATGGATCCAAATCCCATGCACAGGCTGGCCCTGACAGCAGCCAACAAGGTAGCCCAATAGTTTTGAGAGTATCATCAAGCCTTTTCATAAAAATAGTAAGATCTTGCCATTCCCAGCTAACCTTCAACATAAAAATCCAGAAAAGCTTTGTCTGCCTTTTAGTTCCATCTCTTCAGCAAATTACTTTGGTAACAGCTGAACTAGAAATGCATCAGAGAAAGATTTTGGATCCAGCTCTCCTTGATCAGTGTCTCCTCCTTCCAGCCCCACTTGCTCTGAAGGCACACTCATAAAGGTGAGTTCTTGAATACAAGAATGTTCCTGCAAAACCCACACAGCAAGAATATAGATTTTACACCAGTTTGTCAGCATACCCTCCCCCTGAAGGCGTGTGCTGAGACAGCACTCGGTTAAATCCCAATCTGCTCCAGTCCTGTAACTTTATTCTCTCACTTTAAATCTCCTGGGACTGTGAAAATCAGCTGCCCCTGTATCCTTGTTGAAACCTTAGCTGAACCCCATCCCCATTAACATTCAGCTCCTCCAGGACACTCATCATTTACACATTTTCTAGGCTAGAGCAGTTTTTCCAGCGTGTCAACACTTTCCCCCTAATGAAGAGGGCAGGTTACACTGACCACCCACCACCCACCACCTGTGACAATCCCCTGGATGACTCCGAGATCTCTGCCAAACACCAGACACCCTGGCAGGGCATGGCAGCCCGGGGCTCCCTTTTGCTAAGACTGCAGTGTATGAGGAATATAAGAGGCTGTGCTGGCGGGAAGAGGTAATATCTGTTATTAGACCCAACGATACCCTTAGGGAAAAAACTGATGAGCTGTCAGGCATACAAACCCTTCCTCAGGTCTCCAGCTGCTCCATCCTTCAGGGATCGATATCTGCTCCAGCTCAGCAGCCTTGTTATCTTGCTCGCCTTTACATTCTTCCCCAGCTCATCATCATTCAGGCTTTTCTCTGACTCGCCATAAATATTTACTGCTCCTGCTGCCCACACGCTGCCTGCTCCGGAGGAGCTGGAACTCCAGGCTGCAGCAGAAGTTCTCTTGACTGCACATTTCAGGTCCTGCCGTGTCCCCATCCCGCAGATCACACAGAACAGCTCCACTGCAACAGAAATGGTCAGATCCACACAGATTTTTCTCAAGAGGATGGTCATGAGCTCCCCTTGCTCCCAGTCAATCCTGTAAATTGTGCATCAGCAGAGCTGTCAAGTTACCTGTGACAAACAGCCTTGGGGCCAGGCTGCTGCTGTCAACAGTCCCTCGTTACCCTCAGCCCAGCGACACGGGGCTACCCGCAAAGTCAGCACAATGCGGCTGAAGGCATCCTGTGTGACTGGGTTCAACTTTCAGGCCCAGTTCTGCCACCACCATGTAAAGGTCCTCAAGAGAAAGGAAGGAAAATCCAAAACCTCGGCAAAAAGGAGCCTTGCTTCTTAACTCACCCTTCTGACAAGCCCTGCTGTCACAGGGTCACTCATCCTTTAGTCCCACACGCTTCCTCAAAATACCTTGCTCTCAATTATTCACTGCACAATACCTTTTTTTAACTTTTAAAAAAAGAATCCCTGTTTCAGTGGAGGTGCCCCTTCCTCTCTTTTAATCCAAGCAGAGAAAAGTTTGAGGCTGGGGCTCTTTGAAGCACCAAGGTTCAGCAGATCCCTACAAAACGCTTGCTCACCCCTGGCTGCAGCTGCTGCTCTGCAGTGACATCCCTTCAGCATTGCACTTTTTTGGAGAATCCCCGCAGAATCATCATCCTTGGGTATAATAAACGTTCACCTTTGAATTTATCTCTTTGAGAACATTCTGTCTCTGTCATCTCTCTCAGATTAGGAATAAAACAGCAGCAGTTGCTTGATACACCTTGTTGAGGTTAATGAGACAGTGCCAAACCCCTCAGCTGGATGCCCACACTGAACAAGCTGGAACTCCCTCTTTTCTCCACCCAAACAAAAATCTGAATGAAAGGCCACATGCTCGAAGAATACTTCTCCAGTGGTATCCAAATTCGAAGAAAATGAAAGCAAAATGACAACAAGAAACAGTTTGCCTTACCTGGACACGTTAATTCTACATTTCCTATGTTTTCCTCTGCTCAAAACAGCACCACAAGAGCAGTGAGCAGCCCAGCTCACGCACCTTCCAGCAAGCGATAAAGGTGAGATGCCCATAAAAAAAGCCAAACCAGCCCAAAGTTATTAATTTCCAAGGGTTTGCTCTCATTCTTTCTACCAACAGCTTCAAGCTCAGCTCCAGTCACCTGCCACACCAGCCTGTTTTTGCAAGTTCTTTTCCAGCTCAGGAAATGGCACCACACCATCACCTGAGTTAGACCAGGTAACAGCAACACAAACATCTCATCTCAGCAGCATCCAAGAGCATCATTTGGAGTAGGTGTACCCTTAACTCCCTTCTTGCCCTCACACAGCCTTCTGGAGTTATCTTTCTTGTTAAGGCAAGTCCAAGGAAAGGGCTAAACACAGTCTGACAAGGCAAGAAATCACATCACAACACTAAGGTAAGAAATCATTCTTAGTAAATTTTAATCTACAATTTGATCACCTCTTTACAACGATGGAAGTTCTGCCCTCCAGCACATCAGAGCACGTGGTCTAGATTCAGTTCTGAGAGCCATGCTAGACTGGCCAGGAGATGATGTGTCTTCAGCCAGGAGAGCTGCACTGGCAGGAGCTGAGGAGGCAGCTTTACAGCAAGTCATTTGCCATTGAAGTGGTTCCCCAAATAAAATGACTTCAGCTCTAGAAAAGCAGAAGGTTTAATGCTCTAATGTACAGAGAACTACTTTTAAAAAGTGTGGTTAAGATTCACATTAGCACTCATCTAAACATCAACAAGGGTCAGACCCGCTCACAGAAGCCACATCGCTAAACACAATTCAAGCACAATGCAGATTAAAAGTTCAAGAAATAGACACTTGAAAGCAATACTGAGATGTACAAAGACAAGCCAGCTCTTCCAGATGTGCACATCCTTGTGTGTTCACCAACTGCCCTTTACTGAAAGTTCTTCTGCAGGAGAGGGATGGGCCCATTAGCAAGAGACAGTGATCAGGTCAGGAATTTTTATTTAGTTCAGGTACACAATATTTGTATACAATATAAAACCTGGTGTAGTCTTTAGAGGAAAAGATGCCTAGGTGTGAAGCGAGGCCACGTGGCACTGCCTGTATGCCGTGCCTCAGCCACCTGCCTCGGGTGGTGTTAAACTACTTAATATAACAATAAATGCAATGAAGTATAGGAGTTGAGACTGAGCAGTCACGCAAAACCAACTGTTCTCTCTCTGCCTGTCAAGACAGTGGAGAGGATCTTCCTCCTGCTGTCACGTGGATGCACGTCAGCACTGGAATCTGTCTGAGAAGTTGGGAGACTTCGGCATAGTCAGTGGCTGCTCACTGGGCTTCACTTCCACGTTGCGGTATTTGCGTATTGGGTTTGCCTTGTGAACCTGTAAAAAAAAATAATAAAAAAGTTAAAAGACAAAGTGAGCAAATGGTTGCAAGTTATGATGAAGCCAAAACCTGCAGGTGAGCCATCGGTGGGATGAAGGCAGGTGTCTCTCTACAAGACTACCACAATGCTGAGGACACTGGAGGGAGCCACCAGGAATGTGCAAGGCACATTTTGGGGTTGTGCATTTTACAGAGATCATTCCCCCGCAATGACTACACACGTACAGCTCCAGAACTCAGAGCTCAGTAGAGCTGCCTTTTTTTTTTTTTAAGGCCTGTTGTAAAGTTAATGAGGAGTCAGTTTGCAGCAGGGAAGCTTGAAAAGACGATCTTAATGCAGCTTGACATTGACATTAGCTCATTTAGTATATTCACACATCCCTTTGGGTTACTTTACAGCCCCAGTTCAGAAATAGCTCACTTACCAGTTCTTGTCTTAGCTTAGCAACTTCTTCCTTTTCACGCTCCTCTTGTTGCTGTCTGACCTGCTCCTCATGCCTCTCCCTCAAGGCTTCTTTATACGCCAATCGTTTTTCAAATTCTTGCCGCTCTTTAGCTCTTTTTTCTGTTGCCAGCTCAAAGCTTTCAGGAACTACGGAATCAGAAAGGCTCTCTAAGTTTAGAAATAGAGGAGATAAAGCAAAGACAGTCATGTAAAAAGCAGAGCAGCACTAGCATCAAATGAAGGCTCCCTTTGGAGCGCTTCACCTTCCAAGGGGAGTTAGTAGATACCTCCAGGCTTCAGGAAAATAGAAAACCTTACGCCCGAACGTGAGCAGTGTTAATGCAGATGTTAGCCCCATCACGGGTGTTCTCACAGGAGGGAGCAAGCACACAGTTGTTAGTACAAACAAGTTTTTGGCTGGTTCTATATCCCACAAAATTTACTTTACCCTAAGCTGTAGATGCCTTCATCTCATTAGAAATGGGAGGAAAAGACTGACAGCTGCTGCAGAAACGCCAGCTGTCTCTACAGGGAGCTCCTTGCATACTATTTCCCCGTATCCTGAGCTAGCACACATCAATCATCCCCCAATTGCAGCAGAGCTGTTAAATACAGCTGCCACGTTAGTGCGGGGCAGGGGGGCAGTGAGAGGAAACTCCTCCACTCCCCAGGGACACGAGCTATTAGGGAATTAGTTGATTAAGTGCAAGGCACTATTGGCTGTGCTGATAAAGAAGAGGCAACAGCCAGTCTAATCATCATTTAATTGCATCAGTTCTGAGTTATCAGCCAAGACTGTGTAGCAAGTACTTGTAACTCCACCTGATAACAGCATATTCTCCTTTTTAGGCACAAAAGGTTCCTGGTACACCACAGTGTTGGGACGAGCTTTAAAACATGCTGCCTCTTTCTGCCTTTTCATGTCTTCTTTAAGCTGCAAGAGAAGAGAGCCCATCAAGTGCCAGGCATAACAAAAAGACCAACTCCCTCCACCAGGACTTAAGCACTCCCAACACCAGAAAAGTCAGCTTGACTTGATCAAATCATTTGCATAGAAAATTATATTAAAGTCAACAAGTTGTGTCACTTGTTGCCTGCTAGTTACTTTTGCCAAAAATAGCTTGAAGATTTTAGGTGTCCAGGCCAAACTTCACATGAGAAAGGCAGTATATTATTTATATGCCAAATAAATCCCCAAGCACAGAGATGGTCAAAGGGATCCAGCTGCACATAGTTGCTGCTTAGAAAACACCCCCCAGCTGTTCAGGTAGTTGTGGTAAATCCCATCACTTACCATAAAGGGAGAGGAAAAAACCAAGCCACCAATCCTTAACCCATAGCACAAGTTTCACACCAAGGACAGGATAATTCATTGCTCAAACTTGGATCTTGATTCAACTCAAGCAGGACACTTTCTGAAGTCCATCACAGCTCCACTAGCTACTTTAAGTCTAGTCAACCCCTTTTTTTTCCCAACCCACCTGCTGTTTCCAGCTCTGTAACTTGGCAGCTCCCCGTTCATCAACCTGCAGATTGAACGGTTCAGGCTGAGTCGGGTTTTTGACCTTCTTTTCTGGCAGTTTAACGTGGTCAAAGTAAGGTAGAGGCAGCGCTTTGAACTTTGGCACCTGAAAGAAACAATTTAAAATATTACTTGCCCATTCCTCAAGGGCAAGAAGCTTTGGAAATTTAACAACCAACAGCAAGAGGCAAGTCCTGCTACATCCTTTTTACTTAAGGACTGGAAGCCAAGATAGCTTTTAGATCTTACCTCTTCCTTCTGCATTTCTTCTATTTTTTTCTCTTTTTGTATTTGCCGCTCTCTGTCACGAGCATCGAAAGAGAAGGGACAAACCTCCACGTGCCTCTGCTCTGGCACTTTAGGTTTGAAGGGCACTCCATAATGTGGCATCGGGTTAGCTTTGATCATAGGGACTGCCTCTTTTTCCTAAAGGGATATTAGTGTTAGGATCTGACACAGCACCAGATTTTGTTATTTTTGTAGAAAGACTACAACTTCTGTCACACAAAGCCATGAATAATAGAGTTCCTATAATAAGGGTCACAGCAGCATCAAGCAAACACATGTGACACTGTAACAATTAGAAATCCAGCAGAGTACCAATTCACAGGCATCCTGAACCACAGGCAAGTTCTTCCTCTTCTGTAAAAATTAGAAATCCAGGAGAGTACCAATTTACAGACATCCTGAACCACAGGCAAGTTCTTCCTCTTTCCAAATCACTGTCAGTTCTAGTATTCATCCAAATTAGACTGTAATTCTTTAACACTCTCTTTACATCAAGTCCTTCTTTCCCTCTAGTGTTCTGAATCCTGCTCCCCACCTCCAGGGATCCAGAGTGACTGCAGGAAGAAGGGTCATGTGCAATATCTGCCCTTCTCAAGAACAGAATAGGGAAGGGCAATGTCCTTCAGAAATTTAAGCAGCTCACTTTCCTCATTCATAGCAGCAACACCTCAGGAACCCTGGTCAGTGCCCTCACATTTCAATTGAGTTATTTCATTTTGTGTGAGAATTCAGTTTTTGTAAAATGAGTAGCAGCAACTAGATCGTTAGAAGGGAATGGCACAGAGAAAGACAACCACTGGAAGAACTGCCTAATGGGAGGGAAGGGGCTTGTGGAACCAGCCCATCACACCCAGCTGGCAGAGGTACAGCAGCCTGGCCAAGGCAGACACCATGGTGGGACTAGAAAGCTTGACTACAGCCTACACACAACAGTTACCTTTTCTTCATCTCTGCCAGATGTTCGGGTTCTGTTTTTCAAGGTGAAGACTGGAGACTTGGGGACTGTAACAGGAAGCACTTTCTTCTCTGGAACACCCTGTTCAGAAGAGCCAGTAAGGAGTTACCCAAGCCTAAGTACCAAGAAAAGGCACGAGAGAAACAACCCAACCCAGCACAGTATGTACTCATTGCAGTTCTTACCTAATGACAGACAGCGTTTATGGAAGATTATTAAATACATAATGCAATATAGCTACATTTTTTAAAGCTAATTGCCACTTCAGTCCTAATTCCCAGGTCTGGGTATTACTAAGCTGCTTACCACAATCTCCTCCAGGATTTTCGTTGGACATGGCCTGGAATGGAATTCAAAGTGCTCTTCCTCCTGCTGCTTCTTACTGTCACGCTCCTGAATCCTTTTTTCTATTTCCAACTCAAAGCCAATGGGTTGTGTGAGTTCCTTCACAGGGGGTTTCTTGGGCAGGAGTGGTCCACCCTCAAAGATCTTGTGATTGAGTTCTCGTGCTTTGAATTTGTACCTACACAGGAATGATTGAGAAAGTCACCACATGTACATGGCAAGCTGAAGCTTCTAGCAAACAAGAGAGCAACAGAGCTCTTCTAGCTTCTAGCATAAGAGAGCAATACTCAGGTGCAGAAGCAGTTGTGCCACATGCACGTTACATAGTGCACAGCTCTAGTTAGCAATTCCTCCTTTGCTTTAGAAACAGCAACACATTAAGGAAAACCTTATGGATTGCTTTCTTGGCAGTCCAAAACTTTACAGGAGAGTTTTGAAGCATGCACAGGCTATACTGCTATACTGGGTTTGCTTTACTGATCACAAGCTGTACTCAACAAAGATCAGCTCTCCTAAGAGCACTTTGTTCAAAATCCTCCTTTGCTTTAGAAACAGCAACACATTAAGGAAAACCTTATGGATGGCTTTCTTGGCAGTCCAAAACTTTGTCTATGGGAGAGTTTTGAAGCATGCACAGGCTATACCACTATACTGGGTTTGCTTTACTGATCACAAGCTGTACTCAACACAAGATCAGCTCTCCTAAGAGCACTTTGTTCAAAATGAACTGGCTACTTTCATATCTCTATGATCAGAGGAAGAGGGTTACACACAAGCTAGAAGAATCTCAATATTTTTATGCTACTCATTCTTTTATGCAAAAAAGGTGTTCCTGAGAAGTGATATTTAGTATCTGAAAGATATTTCCAGTGTGGTACAATTCTCTCTTGGAGGACTAGAGCAAAGCTTTACTTACTGTTGAATTTTCTCCAATTCCTCTGCTTCTAACTCTGCTGTAGTTTTGCAGGTGCCGGGTCTGAAGCGCTGCTTTGTTAGAAGCATCGGCGTTTTAGGTTTTGTAATCCGAGCCTTCAACACCTTTCCTGGCACTGGCCCTATAAATTGAAGTGACAGAACAGCAGTTAATGGCAAGGCCTGCGACAGACACAGAATTGTTTGCTCAGTAGAGCAGTCAAAGCATCGTTCTTGCTCTGCCACCATCCCTGTGGACAGCCTCCTGGCCAGGACTGCTCACCTTCATCAGATTTTCGGCTCCTCAAATGGTAACGAGAGGGTGTGCGCCTTTGGAATGCTTCTACCTGCTCAGCAAGGGACACGTATTCTGATGAGGTTTCTTCAAGTTTTCTTTTGTTTCCCTGGGACAGGTTGAAAGGTTTGGGGACAGTGGGTCCCTTTGGCAATCGCGCCTGGAGACAAAACACTACAGTCATTATGGCCATTTAACACAGGCTGCTTTGATGACATTTCTTTTCCTCTCTGATCCAAGGTATCTGTCCCTTCCCCATATTGAAAAGAAGATAACACTTAACATTAGACATAAGTCTTAACTGTCTGAACATGCATAAGCACATTGGGAAACTATGAAGTGGAAGATTAAAGCATGAAGTGTAACGACCAGAAGATATGACATTAAAAGGCCCTTTTCAAAAGGGTCCTTTAGAGTCTTGTGGCAATGAACTACGCAGTGAGCTAACAGTTACATTTGCACAACGCTTGCCTCTCCTACAGTAACCCTCTCTGTGTGTTACCAGCAGCACGTGTGTTGCAAAAGCAGAAAGAAAGTGATGTCAAGAATTAGTCAGCTGACTGCAGGCAATATTCTAGCTCTCACCGGAGAAGGAGGATGCTTTCTCAGTACAGCAGCAAAATCCACCTCCTTGTACTCATTCCCAGGCTGGCTTTCCACGTGCTGTTTAACTCTACTCTCCGTGCAGAAGTGGAAGTCAACTGGTTTTGTTACTTGGCCAGCAGGTCTCTTCACAGGTTGTCCTAAAGAAAAAGAGCATGTAAGGTCTGGAAGCTTTTTTGTGGGGGGGTGGGGGAAACATTTACTTTCCAAAAACTGTTCAAGTTAGAGACCTCACCTATAACCTTTCAAAACATGACAAAACACCAGCCCCTAAACCACTTGGAAACAGGTTTATCTACATTAAAAGCCACCTAATCCTAATACTTGTTACAAAATCTGGAATGTTTTTAGAGGTACTTGTACAGCTCTATGCAGCACTCTCCGGCTGTGCTCAGGACAGATTCAATCTGCAATTCAGCTAGAGCCCACCTGCTCCAGCAATAGCTGCTTTCAGAGACTCCTCATTCCTCTTCCGCAGCTCCATAACCTCCCGCTGCAACTGCTGCATCTTCTCCAGCTCCTGCTCCTCTGTACTTTTCACCTTGCCAGAAACATTGGTACTCCTGCAGAAGCATGTTAAAAAGACTCAGATATGCCTTCCTGCTTCACAGCATTATGTTAGTGCAATGGAACATGCTTATCTCTGACTTCATTGCCAAAGCATTATTCATTACAAAATTACACTCTTTAGAAAAGATCGATGTTAGTGCAATGGAACATGCTGATCTCTGACTTCATTGCCAAAGCATTACAAAATTACACTCTTTAGAAAAGATCTGTTTGGATTTTGTGTGCTCCAGAAGGCTTGCAGCTAACTGCTATCCTGCCCATACAGTTGCTCTATGCATGCTTCGTCCATGAGCAAGAACAAATTTTTCCTCAAATGAAAAGCAAAAGCTTCCCTTTGCATGGGATCACTTGGTGAAGTACACTTCATCCTAATATCATTGCCTTGATCTGATGTTTACTAAATGTGATACCATCACATGCTGAGTTGAAACTGAAAACAGTCTAACCAGGGCTGTCACCTAAATCAACTGTGATTAGGAAAGACAAGTCACAAGAAAGCTACGTACTTTAATGTTGTTGGCTTGGAGGGCACGGTCAGTTTGCTTTTCCCTCTCCCTGGAGAAAGATCAGGATTCTCCAGTGGCTCTGTCTTTGTGGATTCTTCTGTCAGGTTCTCGCTGCTGCTAGAACTAAGATAACAAGTGGTTACAGCAAAGCACTTTGATTAACTGTGCTCTAAGTGAAAGATCACCAGCAGTTCTCACCACCATGCACAACATCCCGACACCTGGCAAGTTTTAAGGTATGGCAGACCAGCCTTACCTCACCACGGGCCCAGGTATAGATGGTCTAGTTTTCCCTGGTACTCTAAGGCTGTAGAAGGGAAGATGAATTACTGAGTTTTTGGAACTTAGAGTTTTCTTGAGGAGGCAGGTTTACTGAAGTTCATCTAGGTACAGCAGCGTTTGAAAGATCGGACTTCAATTTCCTTACCTCAAGCTTATCACTATATGATATCTTAGTGGTTAAGATAATTTGAGAAATATTTTAGCTGTGACTTCTTCCCAGCACAGACTGCCTGATGGACAAGTTAAACCAAATTGAAAGCTAGCTGACAAACACTGAGTATGGAGTAAGAAGCTTAAGAAACCCAAGCTTATTTCATTCACATCTCCACCTCCAAACAGAGCATTTCCTTCAGGTCTTACAGTCATTTCTTCTTGTTTATGAAACCAGTATCAGGAATCAGGTATCAGGCACCTCCTCCTAACCTTCCTTTGAGAACCCCCTCAGACAAGTGGAAATCCCTTCCAAAGACACAGTTGTACGTCCCTTCCATGCCCCAAACAGTAGAAATTTGATGACTTACAGTTTCATTTTTTTCAGGGGTTGAACCTCTCCTGTATCAGCCAAGGCAGTAGCATTTCTCTCTGCTTTGACTCTAGCTGGTTGTTTGCGCTGCTTTGTTTTTCTCTGCTTTGCAGCCTGTGTTCTGCCAGCTCTAGAGTAGAAGAGAAAATGGAGGTTAGCTTCCCCATGGGCCTGAGAAGACACACCATCAGTATAACGCTTTTAAAGCCAGTGCATCACCTAAATCCAACATGCCCTTTAGGCTAATTGTTTGTTTAACACAACAATCCAAATTTAGCTTGAATTATTTAAGTTTAACAATCCATAAATTTAATATTCCTTGGTATACATGAGGATACAGAGCCTCTCGCGTCCGTATCAAGAACAAGTTCTGCCCAACACAGGCAGACAAACAATGAAACTTTATAAGCCACTTCAGTTTCAGATATCCTCAGATTCCAGAAGCTCCTAGTTGCTACTCAGTCTCATTTGACAAATATGTGAGACACTGCATTACATTTCCATCCCTAGAAATTGTTCCTCCAGCTTAGCAAGCAGATCAGCTGTCCCAATACACAATCTCTGCTCTGGAGAACTTCAGTCCCATAGGATGACCCAATAACAGCTAGACCTGCAGATCCTGAGAGCAAGGACCTGCTTGGTTACACCGTCAGCAATCTTCATGCAAACTGAATCCAAGTATTTCACCTTCGAGAGGCCTCTGCAGGAGCAGCAGCTCTCCAGGTGTCCAGGGATCCAACAATATTCTGAGGAACCTCATCGGTCTGCATGTCTTCTGCTTCTCCATTCTCTTTGTCACAGCTTTCACCTGAGAACAGCGACAAGTGTCAGCTCATATATATACACACACAGGAATGCTAAAGTGAAACCATGTGAGACCTTGCTAGACAACAATATATGAAGGTCCAGGGATCCAACAATATTCTGAGGAACCTCATCGGTCTGCATGTCTTCTGCTTCTCCATTCTCTTTGTCACAGCTTTCACCTGAGAACAGCGACAAGTGTCAGCTCATATATACACACACAGGAACGCTAAAGTGAAATCACGTGAGACCTTGCTAGACAACAATATATGAAGATGGTCCCACAAAAGCCAGCTTTTTCATTTTGCCAGTGAAAACAGGTAAAATTTTTCTCTCCCTGTCCCACACCATGCCAACTTACTCATTGGTATTCCTTGTGATGCGACAGAAGACAGAATAATATCAGGCTTTGATAAAGCAGGGCTGTTCTGTGAGACCTTTGCCAGATTTTCTGCAGGGGGGACATTCTCCAGATTGGCTTTTTGGTCTGTGAGGAAAGAGAGACTTTCACTACACATACTACGTTAGGAATTTTTAACAGTACCTCAGAATCTCATTATGATGTTAACAAAGTCATCTGTCAAGTTACAGATGACAATCAAAGTTTAAATACAAAAACAAAACAACAACAAAAAACCCCAAACATGACGAATGGTGGAGTTAACAACGTGACTAACCCATTGGCACAGAAGCCAGGCCCAAAAATAAGGATCACACCAAGCCCTCATTCAAAGAGAAAACAGATCAAGGAGTTGGAAGCAACTTACCAAACCAGGAGTCTGGATTGTGTACATCATCCTCATTCAGAGTTGCAAAGTTGATGCAAGGGTTTGGGACATCAAAGGAATAGCGAAATTCTGGGTGAAACATCTTCACCTTCGCGCTGTCCCCACGAGTCCTCAGCTTTCACTGCTGCACTCCTTTAGACAACAAGCATTGGTCACACACAGGAACGCTAAAGTGAAATCACGTGAGACCTTGCTAGACAACAATATATGAAGATGGTCCCACAAAAGCCAGCTTTTTCATTTTGCCAGTGAAAACAGGTAAAATTTTTCTCTCCCTGTCCCACACCATGCCAACTTACTCATTGGTATTCCTTGTGATGCGACAGAAGACAGAATAATATCAGGCTTTGATAAAGCAGGGCTGTTCTGTGAGACCTTTGCCAGATTTTCTGCAGGGGGGACATTCTCCAGATTGGCTTTTTGGTCTGTGAGGAAAGAGACTTTCACTATGCATACTACATTAGGAATTTTTAACAGTACCTCAGAATCTCATTATGATGTTAACAAAGTCATCTGTCAAGTTACAGATGACAATCAAAGTTTAAATACAAAAACAAAACAACAACAAAAAACCCCAAACATGACAAATGATGGAGTTAACAACGTGACTAACCCATTGGCACAGAAGCCAGGCCCAAAAATAAGGATCACACCAAGCCCTCATTCAAAGAGAAAACAGATCAAGGAGTTGGAAGCAACTTACCAAACCAGGAGTCTGGATTGTGTACATCATCCTCATTCAGAGTTGCAAAGTTGATGCAAGGGTTTGGGACATCAAAGGAATAGCGAAATTCTGGGTGAAACATCTTCACCTTCGCGCTGTCCCCACGAGTCCTCAGCTTTCACTGCTGCACTCCTTTAGACAACAAGCATTGGTCATCTGTTATACCAAACCCCAACACAGGCGTTGGCTAAATCATTCTCCATTGCTCTTCCTCAGCACAGGTTCTAGAGATAGACACTGGGACAGCCTTGGTACCTTTTCCTGTCTCGCAATTTACAGCCTTCAGACAGAACGCCTCCTAATGGTTCTTTATTCTACTGCTGATTAGCAAAGCTAAGGAGATTTTACTACTGTTTGCATTTGCAGGTTTTAAATATCCAAAAAGATCAGGTTTTGAAAGTTTTCTTTGTACCCATAGGTGCCAGAACTGTGGTTTTTTAAAGGAAGTAAAGTACATAGATTTTTCCAGAGAGCAGTTGATTTGCCCTTCCCTCCCTCACCACACACAGCAAAGATGAGTTCTTACCCTTATCAGGGCACAGATTTGTGAAGCAAGAGCCTGATGACGCGGTTTGACCCCAGAGCACTGCAAAGCGGAGCCTTTCTCCCTCTGAAAGTCTACAAACAAGAACTAATGACATAAACATGTTCTTCTCTAGAGTAAATTGATTTCCAAAGCAGGAAAAGAGTTCTGTAGAGTCTTGTTACTAGGCAAAAAGTAGGAAAAAGGGCAGTGTACGATCCTTGCTGCATTCCACAGTTCTACTCTGATGCTGGCCAGGCTGTAAATGAACCAAAGGCTGTGACAGCATCAAGAACAACCCCTGCAGTTAATTAGTGAAGCACTGACAGCAGGAGGAGTCCCTGTGTCAACAGGTAATATTAAACTCAAGGGAACAGGAATAAAGCCAGCAACAAAGTTATAAACCCTTAAGTGTAACAAAATCTTTTTGCAAAGGTGTTTTCATGCTTTCGTGCTGGCTCGCACAGCTGCAAGGCAAAGCCCATGCGGGTGTGTTATAAAACACTCCCTCAGGAAATCACCTGAACTTTGCTTTTATGACTCAAACCAGCTCTAAAGCAGCATATTCTTAATCCACCAAGTCTCAGACCTAAACCATCTGTCTAGGCAGACCACACATAGCTCAACCCAGCCCGTACGCTCCATAAATAAGAAAATGTTCAAGAGTAAACCATTGGCCTTCCCTCCTGAAGGCGGCTGCGTCGAGAAGCCTTCAGTTCCCCAGCAGAGAATTGCAATAGTTAAGGGGAAAAATGTCAGTACAGAAGCATCAGCTACATGACTGTGAAGATGTCAGGGTAGAACCCAAAGAAGGCAAACAAAAGAATCGGAGCCAAAACCAACTGTAACTGAGCTCAAGACATGGTTGGAATCAAATGCTTTCCTACCGCCCTTAATCAAGATAAAGTTTCTGTCAACACTACCCTCTTTTTTAAAAATCAAATGCGTCATCTGCATTCTTCCCTCACCCTCCCCAGTCCATCCACCGAGTCGGAGCCCCGGGCATCATGTTTCACAGCTACTTGTGTCCACTGTTACGCTGCTGTAGTTTCCAGCTTTTTACTGTGTGAAGTCCATATTCTTTCATAGTGTCAGCACCCTCATCACCGACCTCACCACCAACCCCCCCCTCTCTCTCCCCTTCCCCTCCAGCCCAGGCAGAAGCAAATAGCCATGAAAAGAAAGGGAGTGCATTAATTCCACAGTTTCATACTCCAAGTTTCTTGAAAAAGCCAGTGGGGAGATAAATGTTATCATGACTGAAATTCAGAGGGTCTACTTAAGTCAGATGAACTCACAGCATCTGCTTTTCAAATCTTTACATGCCCTGCAAGTCCTGCCCAGAACAGGGTTTACTGAAGCAGCAGCTCACTGAAAAGCATCTCACTCCTCTACCCTTCAACTCAGCCTGGGACCGAGCTCCACTCAGGAGCATTTCCGCGACGCATCGCTCCCATGTGCCCACTGTGATGCTTTCCATGATTGGAACAGGTTCAGCCAAGTACAGCCCAAAATCCCCTGTCCACTCCAATCGTGCTTTTGATGGCAGAAGCACCATTATCTCAATCTTTTCTTTAAAGAAATCTTTTCTTTCTCTCCACCGTGACACCAGAAGTGAGGCGCAGAAATGTCTTCTCATTAATAGGGACATCACCTAATTAGCAGGCATTGCGTGCCTTTTCCAGACCGTAATTACAGGCACGCTGTAATCCTACATAACTAAAGCGTGGATTTAAAGCATAACCCTGCTCCCCCCGACATCCATCACCTCCCGTGTCGACACCAGTGTGTGTGGAGCTTCAGAGCCAGCCAGCGGGGGAACCCTCACCCCCGTTATGTGGGATCAGCTTTCACCTGGTTTGCAAAGAGCTGCTCACACCACTGCTGGTGCAAGAAAGGAGGAGAATCCGGTCCCCTCGCTTTCAAAAATAGCCCAAATTCTTTCAATAAAAGCAACTGCCAAACCAAAGCCTTAATTCTCTTTCTAGATCTGCTCCCCTCACTCACCTAAACGTGCTACAGTTTCTGTACAGAGCAGCAGAGCCGCATCCACAAAGAGAAATTGATGACAAGTTTCTCTGCACATCAGGTTTCTTTTGAGTAACTACGCTTTGGCACGTTCCAGAAGAGTGCCTTGGCCTGGTTTAGATTAGTTAGCTTTGAAAAAGGATTAAGCTAAATTGGAACAAGCATTCCTATCCCAGAATAAGCCTGATCCAACAGCAAGCACCATAGGTATTTCGGAATAACTTCACACCTCACTCTAATCCAAATTAGCTTTAAAATGCTGACACGATTCCATCACAGATGTGCTCAGTGTCTTTTTTCTCAATGGAGTAGTTAATTTCTTGCCAAAAAGCATTCAGAACAGACAAGGCTGAAGAGGAATAACTCCAACAAGACTTAGATGGTCTCGGCCCAGATACAGTACCTGAAACAGTACCAAGCACGTCACAATTACAACAAAAAGAGTTTCTTATTCTTAGAGCAGCAGCCCAGTACAGACTGATAGTCATTAGGCAATACAACAGAACCCACTGCCTGGGACAAAGGACCCTCCCAGCTTTACAAGCCTTTGAGAGAGGAAGCAGAGTTCCAAAATGAGAAATTGGAGGTCAGAAGGAAAGAGAACGGGGGAGTTGGGGTTTGGGGGAGCAGCAAGGGATGAACAGAAGGTGGGTGAAGAGAAGATCCGCTCTTTCTTGTTGTCTTGCAATATAATTAATAAGCCCCTGGTCAAACTGCAACAACACTTATCACAGTACACCATGGAGCTTCATTAAGCTACAGATCTTACTTACTCTAAACCCTATCAGGATTAGAAAGGGGAAAAATGTGTTTTCCCACAGTGCAGAATCAACACTGAACTCATCATCTCGGGTACAGACCAGAGGCAACACTGCTGTGCCATCATATAATACTCAAATTGGGAGATAAGGCCATGAACTCCACACAGGAGAGAGATGAGCATGCAGGGAGCTCCACAGAGCACCCCAACCTGCCGCCATTAACCAAAGGAGGAGCGAGGTGCTGGAAGAAAAGCTGCAACTCCAAGCAGCTAACGGTGGCCCAGAGTCTCCTCCCTTCCAACAGCCCAAAATAAACAGCCCTAATGTCTCATGCTCCATAAATATCCCATAAATTTTAGAAGACAGGACATTCTAAGAATAGCTGTTCAAGGAAAAGTAAATTATTTTTAGCCTGTATAACCTCGACTTATTGTTAGGTAAGTCGAAGCTCCTCTAGCTTAAAAAAACCCACTATATAAAACTAGGTAACTGAATACCTTTTCTGTTAACTAAGCCAGGATTCCCCCGGGTGTATTCCCTCCTCTTCCCAGGAAGCAGGAATTGGTTTGAGAAGAAGCAACAGAGTTTTTCTTTGCTTCAAAATGAAGCTGCCCATCCCGGGCGGGGGTGAACGGGCAGTTAACGACACAGCACAACGGGCAGCCTGGTCCCAGCAGCCATTAGCACAGCACGGCACGGCACTCTGGCTTTAGAATTAGCGCTCAGAGATTTAGGCCCACGTCCCAGGAGCCCCAGGAGCCCTCCGGTCACCGCCTCAGGCCACCGCAAAAGCGGCCCGGGACATAGGCCGAGAGCCGGGAGCCACTTTCCACCTCCTTTTCCCGGCAGCGTTACGACGGGCACAGGGCCGCGTTACCGATACCCGGGCTCACAGCAGGCCAAGAGCGCAGCCACGGCCAGAGACCCGACAGGATGCGGAGGGGGGGCGACCGTTCCCTCCGGTCACCGCCTCAGGCCACCGCAAAAGCGGCCCGGGACATAGGCCGAGAGCCGGGAGCCACTTTCCACCTCCTTTTCCCGGCAGCGTTACGACGGGCACAGGGCCGCGTTACCGATACCCGGGCTCACAGCAGGCCAAGAGCGCAGCCACGGCCAGAGACCCGACAGGATGCGGAGGAAGGGCCGCGGCCTAAGCTGCCGTTACCGGACGGCGTCTAAAGGAGAAGGGAAGAAGAAACCCAGAGCGCCCCTAAAGCGAAGGGGGCACTCAGTGCCCGGTAACCCCCACCCAACGCCCGGTAACCCCCGTCCGGTACCACTCACCTCGGCGCCGCAGCCGCCGCGCGTTTTGCGGCCGCCACCGCCGTTAACGTATTTCAAACAGAGCTCGTCCGTCCGAACCGACCAATCAACGCCTTAGAACACACCCTCGGCGCATGCCGATTGGGCGAGCCGCCAGGAGACCAGGGGACCCGGATGAGCACTGCCCGCAAAGGCTGCCGGGAAACGTAGCGTCCCCGCGCACAGCACCACTGCCGCAAGCCAGACGCAAACCACAACCCCCACAAAGCATTGCGCGGGGCGCGCCCAGCCAATCAAGGGAGGCAGCGCTCAGAGTGTTGTTCGGAGGGGACCTATCAGCTGCCGGTAGGCGGGTCCCTCTGGCAGGGCCCGGCGGGGCGGGACGGCTCGGGCTCGGTACCAGCAGCCCGCCGGGCTGGGGAGCACCTGCAGCAGGGCAGGTCGTGCCGCCCGGGCGGGAGCCCACCGGGGCTGGGTAACACTGCTGTACCTTACGTGGCCGGTGCGGCATCTGCCTTGTGGCTTTGAGTAAGCACGTAGCGGCTCTCCGTCTCGATCAAGCACGGGCGGCCTGCATCCACACCGAGCAGCGGAGGCCGGGGCACCGGGGCCGCCACGGCCTGGGCTGCCCAGGGGTCTGGCGGCAGCACCGACAGGGGGCGCCAGAGCCCCGCCCTCCGCCCGGGCCCTCCGCGCCTGCGCGCGCGACGGTTGGGGCCAGTGCGCGTGCGCTCCCCCCCTCCCC